TGTGTGTGTGTGTGTGTGCGCGCGCGTGTGTGTAGTGTAGGGATATATATGTGTGTGTGTGTATATATATATATATATATATATATATATATATATATATATATATATAAAGTGTAATACTCAATTATATTTATATATATAAATTATAATATTCAAAAAATAATAATATTAATAAAATAAAATATATATATATATATCCCAATGCCGAAGGGTATGAGGTGTACGTACGTGCTATACGCACCGTGGGTACTTGTTTGATTATTTTTACGCATAGATGGCAACACTTGTACTAAATCACCAATGAGCCAGTTCCGAGTACCGCCCGTCTCGCCCGTTTACCCTTTTCTTTGCTTTATGAAATATCTTACGTTATCTTATTTTGCCATTACTAATGTTAAAAAACATTATAATAATTATAATCTTTATGATAAAAATAACACCATCGATTTCCATAGCACTAGTGAAAAATACGTTTTTCCCGCCATTTCAAATCAGGCGCTAGTAGAACCATCTATCGGCAGACATTTCACAAAAAAACATAGAAATTGGGCACAGCATTTTCCCCATTTTTTGTTCATTTTCCCCGGCGGCATTGATATATATATATATATATATATATATATATATATATATATATATATATATATATATATATTAAAGTGTAATATTCAAATATGTATATAATCATATATGTATATATACATACATATATATATATATATACATATATATATATATATATATATATATATATATATATATATATGTATATATATATATATATATATATATTTATATATAAAGTCTAATATTGAAACTATTCATTTTTCAGTAACAGAATTTCAACTTAACTTCTAGCGTCTCATTTTGTCTCTAAATAAAGAAATGTCTTGTGAATTTCTGCAAATGAAACTGCAATTATGCTTAACAATGAGACCTTTTGTGTTGCGTTCGTTTTACGCCCGATCTCTCTATTAGCAATTTTATTGGATACGGACGCACGCTGTTGGTTGCCATTGGTTAATTAACGTTAATTTATACGTTGCATAGATACTTCCTCTTTTTCTCTTTCTCTTCGTCTTTTTTTTTTCTTTTTCCGTCTATTATTGGAAGGAAACTTTGGAATCATTTGGAAATATCAGTTGAATGAAAAGAATAAAGGAGGAGAAAAGGTGAAGAGGAGACGGGGGAGGTGAGAGAAGGAGAGAAGAGGAAGCAGAAGAAAAATGGAAAAGAGGAAGAAGAAAATTGGAGATTTAGGAAAAGAATTAGGATAGATGTGAATTAGAAGATAGCAGGGATGGAAATGAAGAGAAGAAGAGAAAGAGAAGAGAAGAATGCAGATTAAAAAGAAAATAAACAAAAAAGAAACAAATAAAAGGAAAGGAATAGTACTGCTCGTAGTAGAAGAAGGAAAAGAAGAAGAAAATGAAGACAGAGCACCGGTGATCGTCAGAGGTAACGCAGCTCATCAGGGAATTCCAACGGGTGTCGACGCGGCTAGGCTTAGTGTCCAGAACATGTTGACGACAAGTTCTATATTTCAGAGTGACTTGCTGTCGGAAATGGTCTTCACTGAATTTTTACCGTTTTCCTCCCCCCCCCCCCCCCCGGGTCGCATTTCCATCGAGATATGTTTCCTTGACGTGAAATTTACGCTTAGACATTTCGTTGCATTAGTGGAATGTTCGTATTTTACAACACGTGTCTGGAATGGCATATGTGTATCTGTTTTTCTGTGTGAAAGAGTGTTTGTGTGTATATGTGTGTGTATATATGTATATATACATATATATATACATATATATACATATATGTGTATGTATATATATATATATAATATATATATATATATATATATACGCATTTATAATTATACACATGCATATGTGTGTGTGTGTGTATGTATACTTCTTACTTTCACTTCTTCCTCTATCTCTCTTTCTCTCAATCTATTATCTCTATCTATATTTTTTTCTATTTCCCTCCCTCCTTTACACTCTCCTTCTCTCCTCCCCCTTCCACCTATCTTCCCTCCTTCCCCCTCCCCTTTTATCCTCCTGTCCTCCCTCCCTCCCTCTCTCTCTTCCTTGTCTCTTAAGAACCATAATTACATGAACAGCATTCGGCATTAGCTTAAACGTGTGCTCGGTCATCCCAAGAGAAACAAGAAGCACTGGCCTCTTAGTGTTCTCTCTTGACCTGTTTACACATTCGAGTTTGGAGAAATGCTGCTTACCCTAACGTACGAGTATTGGTGCATTTTATCATACATTTGTAAAAGTTCAGGTTGCGTGTTAGATTATCTTTTTTTATATCTTGTAGCTATTTTGTTAGGATACTAGTTTAGCATTTTACTGCGATATCAGCTTATATATTTTACCCAGTATACCTATTTTACCATTTAGGCCTAAGAGTTTTTCAGTATAATTTGTTTGAGATTCTTCTTTGAAAGCAACGTAGATATACGTAAGTTGAATACGTCAACAAATGCGTAACTAATGGCATTTCTCATTCAATTATGGAAATGTCGACGGTTTCTTCCCTTGAGATTAATCCAATTAATAACAAGATATTAAAACAAAAAATACCATTTGAAAGTCAGTCTTCGACATGTCTTCCTACAAAAAAAAAAAAAAAAAAAAAAAAAAATGGAATAAGCAATAAACAGAAAAACGACGAAGAAAAAAAAAACGATAATTATTCATTCATCTCATTACAATTTCCTTTCATCTCTCTGCGTCTCGTCTCCAAGATGACATTTATTTTTAAAAATGTGTTTTCGACGCTGGAAACAAAATGCGCAAAAAGAAAAGAAGGGCCGTTTCCGTACGACAGGTCAAAGAGCCTTTGATGTCTCTTTGGATAGAATGGGCGGCTGGGCGTCTCTGTGGGCGGGATGGGCGCGGATGTTGTTGATAACGGGGAGAGGGGAGGGGAGGGAAGGGGGGGGGGGGAGAGGGGAAATGGGATAGGAAGGTAAGGCTTGGGTGAGAGGGGGGGAGGGGGACTGAAGAATCGTTACGCAAGAGTGAGATTGTATTATCGCTATCAATATATTTATATATATACATATATATATATATATATATATATATATATATATATATATATACACATCCTTACTACTATAAAAATAATCCTTATTATTACCTTTTATCATTATTGTCATCAGTAACATATGTTAATATCATTATTATTTTCATCATTACTAGTACCATTTTCACGATTGGCTTTATCATTAATAACGTCATTATTATTATCATTATAGATATCCTTATTATGTTATTATTATTATTATCATTATCATTATTAACATTATAGTTATCATTATTATATTACTATTATCATTATTATTTATATCATCATCATTATTATCATTATTATTTATATCATCATCGTTATTATCATTATTATTAACATCACTATCATTATTGTTATCATCAGTATTATCATTATTATTAACATCACTATCACTATTGTTATCATCAGTATTTTCATTATCTTGATCATCATATCATTCCTAATGCAACTGCTACTGCTACTATGTTATCCTTATCATCATTAATGATATTATTATAATTATTGCCACTGCTATCAACACTATCATTAGTACACTATCATCACTATTGCTGATATTATCATTATGATCAATGTACTTATTATCATTATCATACCCAGTATTACAATTATTACTGCTATTTTTATGCTTAATATTATCATACTTATTAGTGCTATTACATTAACCATTATCATAATCTTCATTGTTATTATTTTATTAACATTATTATGATTACTATCATTAACATTATTATCATCACTATTATCACTATCATTATCAATATGATTAATGTTTTCATTAACATTATTATACCAAGTAATATAATCATTATTGTTATAGTTATTATTATCATCATTATTATTATTACGGCTATTATTATGACTATTATATAATGTTATTATGATCATTATTACTATTGTCATTATCAAAATTATCCTTTTATTAATATCATTATTATTAACATTTCGTTATCATTACTGTTATTATTGTTATTATAATTATTAGTATTGTATTTTTTATTATCATTATAATGATTATCATTACAGTCATTATCATTATATTATCGTTATCATTATCATTATCATTATTATTACTATTATTGTCATTATCATCATTACTATTATTATTATTTTTATCTTTATTAACAATATTATTATTATCATTATTACTATTATTATCATTATCTTTATTCACAATATTATTATCATCATTAGTATTAATATTATAATATCATAATTATCATTATTACCATCATAGCTTTTGCTACCCTTTCTTCTGTCATTACTATTATTATTATTACCATCATTATTATTATCATTATCGTTATTATCACTATCATTGTTAGTGTTGCTGTTGTTTTGTTGTTACGAATATCATTATCATCATTATCATTAAAATTATAATACTATTAACATCATCATCATCATCATCATCACCATCACTCTCACCATCATAATCATTACTATCATCATTATTATTATCATTATCATTATCATTCTTAACATTATCATTATCGTTATTATTATTATTACTATTGTTATTATTATTATTATTACTATTGTTATTATTATTATTATTATTACTATTATTATTATCATTATTATTATTGTTACTATTATCACTATCATCATTATTATTATCATTATCATTATCATTGTTATATTATAATTGTAAAGGGGTCATAGAGTATATATATATATATATATATATATATATATATATATATATATATATATATATATATATATATACACACACACACATATGTATGTATATATGTATATATATATATATATATATATATATATATATATATATATATATATATATATATGTATATATATAACAAATATCCATTACTAATTAATGACTAACACTTATTTACAGAAATTCAATGTTACATGAACATCATAACATAAGATATATATCTTTAACTCACCGAAAGTTATGATTTCCGATCCCTCCAACTGGTTCCTTGTGATTGTGAGGCTAATAGTATATAAGACAGGGAACCTTACTGCCAAGACTGTGCCTTATGCTTCAACAACGAATTGAAATGTTCGATAAAATTATTCTTATGCTTATTTAATATAGAGTAAAGTTTTATCTTCACTGTCGGGAACTTTGTTACTTGTGAAGATTGTT